CAATCTTTTTCAATACTCCACTTTAATATTACAAATTATTATAAAACAATAATGAGCAGATAGTGATGATCTCCGGTCTGGAAATGAATGCAATCAGTGACCACTGACGTTACTACTGCAATCAAAATGTTTGCCTTTTCTTGTGGAAGAAAAGAAGCTAAAATGAATTTCCAAATTTGACATCCTGATAAAAAAAAATTATTTGACCTCCATCTCCACATCATGCTGACTTACAAAGAACAAAATACGAGGATCACCTCTGGACAATGATCAGGAAATTGCACCGCTCCTCTGCGGTTCGATTAAGGGATGAGCTAGGTGCTTGTGCTAGGAGTGCTCCCTCACTCCAACATAAGACCACATAAACAAACTCTCACTCCAAATCCTGTTGGAACAGTTTAGTGAAGTTAGAACGACATTACTGGTGTCTCGCCCAAGGTTTGCCGCACTGACCCGTTTTACCCAATTGTGGGCTTAGCCGTAGAGATCAAACTGTTCCAGCGGAAATAAAGAAATCAATTCAGTTTATCAGCAAATCAAAAGGTATTTCCTTCCCCAGTGATCACTCAGAGCAGCAGCAAGGGGCTGATTTGTGTGAGACAACCTATGTCCACATAGCCAAAAACATAAAGAAGGGAATTTATCAAAACTGGAGCAGACACAATCTGGAGCAGTTGCCCATAGTATCCAATCAGCTTCTATGTAAGCCCCACTCAACAGCCAGGACCTCAATGTAAAAAGTCTCAGTCTCAATGATTAAGCCTTTTTGGCGAAACATGTCTCAGCCTGTGGATCTTGTCATGTTTGTAACATTGTAGAATCCTGGGAATTAACCTTTTTACATTGAGGGCCTGGTTGTTGAGTGAAGCTTTACATATATTGGATTACTGGTGACAGCCGTGGCGTGGCTCTGTCGGCCGGCACCTGGCATTTTGGATGGGACTGATGAGTTTGGGCCTACGAATGTGAGCGGTGCCCTTTTCACAATCAGCTTCTATCTTTCATTTTGTTTTGTTTTTTAATTCTTTATCTAACGATTTATAAATATAATAAAGAACTTCAATAACGGTACCCTAGAGGTTAGAACACAAAACAGACCGATGCATGCATGCATGCGTGGTAACAATAATGTGTGGTAAAGAAGAAATATGTATAAATAACAGGAAAAACAAATGGAAGCTAAACGCAAAGCATGTATACAACTCTTGTCAATACTCTTTAGAAAGCGGTATAAACCTTATACGAAATGGCTTGGAAATGATCTGCAGACCACACGAGATATGGTAGCGTGAACGGGACTCCTACGTGGTAGGACCCTGACCGACAACGAGGGAAAGGAAAACAAAATGATGAGGCGGGGGGTTGGGGGGGTAGAGAAATAAGCAGGATGCACCAGGCAGAAGGGGAGAATGAGGAGAAGTAGGAGATAAGATAAAATGTAAAGTGCATATAGAGACCATAGTCATAGAAAGAAAATAATTGTGCATGGGAGAAAGCACCCAAATTAAATGTCATGGCACAGGGAGCATCAACTCCAGAACCCAAGGAAAAGATGTATACACCCAGAAACTATCTAGGAAGGAGGAACTACTGTAGCAAAGCCAGGCCTTCAGGAGACTCTATATACTCCATCCAACAATACTACATTTTAAAGTACCATTCATGCCTTTTTTTGTAAGACAGTATCATATCTTCAATTTTCCTTATCTCCTCAACTCCATGTATTCACATGGAGACACTAGGTGGGGACGTGGACCGCCAAAGGCTCGGAATATAGGATTTAGCAGCATCCAAAAGATGACGGACCACTGACCGTAAGTAAGCTTTCTCAGATATGTGGGAGTTATGTAACAGAAAGTGGGAAGGATCACCAGGGATATCTGTGTCTGTATATTTACGCGTGATAGTGCGGACCAAAGATCGAAAGTGTGACAAAGCTGGGCACTTCCAGAAAATATTCAGTAAGGTGCCCACCTCCGCGTTACACCTCCAACAAACTTTGGTAGCCCCAGGATAAATCCTGTGTAAAAGTGCCAGAGTCTAATACCATCTGGTGAGAATTTTATAATTAGTCTCCTGATGTTTCGTACAAATAGATTATTGCAAGGTAAAATGAATAACTTTCCGACATTGGTCATCCAAGAAGGAGGTATTAGGTTCCTGTTTCCAGTGTGTTATGAATGAGGCCTTAGCATTCATGGCAGTAGTAAAAAGAGTCAAGTAAATACTTGATAGAACGTGTCGGATGGGGTATCTTTCATTTTTAAAGCTTAAATGAACAAGCTGAAGAGAGAAGCTGATTGGTTACTATAAGCAACTGCTCCAGATTCTGTCTGCTGCAGTTTTGATAAATTTCCCCGAAAGACTTTTGCTCTGGTACCAGTATCTGCATTAATATGCCATCTCTGGGCCAGCACCTTGGTCCAATAAATAAATAATGGTTCTGAATGATGCCTGAATAATAATGGCTGAGTCCTTCTGGAAGAGAGGAAGATGAAACCATTGTATTGGGAGTACTGTGATCTTGTTTCAGAGGTAATAATACCTGTAAGGGGTTATACTTTCACATTACAAAGAATACATGCATTAAGCATGAAAAATGTCATTGAAGCTGCTGTAGGTCCACTTTAAGTGTAAACCCTGTCACCAATACCACCTGATCATTACTGATTGTGGTCCGACTTATTCCTATGGCAACCACTGCTGACCTTCGCTCTAGTCATAAGGAACAAATAATAAATGCAGGCTTTAGAAATTGTCAGTAAGTGGTCATAAATCATCTTTGATCTAAGCAAACGTATAATAAATCTCCACAAGTCATCTACTTTAAAACATTTGCTTTCATCATGCATGACCTAATGGTAAACGTGCCTTCATCATATCTCTCCTTGACTACTGTCACATTTTCCTGTGCAGTGTTCCAACAGACAGTCTGGTACCATTCTGTTATGTCCTGACCTCTGATGCTTCACTCTCACTCTTTAAAGTTAATCTGTACTCCATTTTAAAAGTAATAGTTCTGTCTAAAATGAGACACTACAAGGTACTTGTTATTACCTGTCTAGAATGCTGCTCTTATTTTGTTCCATTTTGTTATTGGGGTCTGGCTTTCCCTGATGTCATGGCTAGTTTCTATCCACTTCCATTCCACTGTCCAATGTGCCTACCACAGTGGCCAGTAAGCCGTTTTCTGTAACTGCTTCTGGTTCTTCAATTTCTCTATAAAGTGTCTGGTTTGGGACTAAAACACCCGCTCTGCACTATATAATTCCTGCACAAGGCTGTCAATTTCATAACCAAATTCCACTTTGAAGGTGAAGAGCAAATGCAGTGACCCATGTGTCAATGAAGCCTGCAAACAGGGCTCATTTATAAATATGTTGTTAACATATTATATTTCTTACAATATATATATCTGTTTGTTCGTATGTATGTGCTGACCAAAGATGTCCTATTATCTGTCAGTTCCAGCAAAACTACCATGGTTAAACTTTTTTTTTTTCCAATAGGAGAATAGGAGCTTCACCTAACCCTTTGTTAATCCTTATTAAATTCTTCCTCCTTTTCTGCTCTAATGCAATTTTCTTTGCCATTTTTATTTTTTACCATTCACGAGTAAACTTTTTTTGTTTTGTGTGGTATTTTTTTACTTTTTGTAGTTTCGCAAACATTCTAAATAAAAATAGCCTTTTATTTAATTGGTTAAACAAACTTTATCATGCTTTGTGCCAGTAACACACTTTTTGTGTTGTAATAAGCAGTACAATCGATGAAGAAAGTCTATATTATTATTATACAGGATTTATATAGTGCCAGCAGTTTGCGCAGAGCTTTACAATATAATGAAGACATTACAATCACAATACAATTCAAGACAAGATGGTAAGAAGGGCCCTGCCCCTGAATTTTGCAGGAGGAGACTAAGAAGTTGTGAGCTATCCTAGCTGCCAGATTAAGAATACATTTGTTTATAATAATGTTAATCAAAACCTGGTACTGATTTTCCATGTTCACATGCTAACTTTATCTAAATCATACTCAGGGCTCACTGTATAATGAGGCAGCTTGAGGCTTTTGCCCCAGGTGGCTTCTCTTTGAGTCACATGGGGGGGGCGGCAGGCAGAGCAGCATGGTCGTTCTACTGAGACAGGGAGAGGTGTAAGGGCCATATACATCTTCCCATGCTCTTAATAACCTGGGACACTCTTGCCAGCGCCCCGCTGAGCTCCTGGCAATCAGTGAAGTCACTGCAGCGAGGTGGAAAACCATCCTGAGCATCCCAGGTTGCTAAGAACTGGGCAGGCAGATTAGACATTACACATTTCCCCGCCTGGCTCTAAGAGGTGTCACTTTCCAACAACAACCCC